TGTGTGTGTGTGTGTGTTCCCAGTCCTCACCCTGCTGTGGTCCAGTCTGCTGCTGCTCCACCTCCTGGATAAACAGGTCAAACATTTGCGTCTCGATGAACTTCTTGACAAAGTGTCGAGTGGTCTTGGAGTCAATGGCCTTGTAGAAACTTCTCTTTTCAAACACGCCCTGATCTCCAGTACGACCGCGTTTCACATACGAGGCGTAATGGCCGACTGTTTTCACAAAGAAGTGCAGGAAGGCTTCTGACACCACCCGGTTCAGCTCCTCTGCCGCTGAAAGAAAGGACGGGAAACATTTGTGATGATAGAACTATATTCCTGTGTTTAACTTTGGTTGAAGTTTACTCACTTGATGCTTGCTGCCTTTTACTTAGTTCCTCTAGTATTTCAGTTTGGAGCTTCGGGGGCAGAATAGACCCTTCATCACCAATCTAGATAAGGAAGAGTTCACAGTCTGCATTAACACCAAATGGCTGTTTCATATGAATTGATAACCAAAAGATAATCAACAGGTTTTGTTTATTTTGTTGATCCAACACTTACTGAAAAAATAAAGGTCTCCTTCTTTTCCTCAGACAAGTCGACCAGCAGCAGCTGTTATATAATAAAAAATAAAATTAAAAAAAAGGCGTGAGGTGAGGAGGTCAGTCCAACGTTACACATGTTTGTCCTTTCTATCTTTACCTGTCCAATTAAAGAAAGGCATAAAAAGCCCCAAAATATCTAAGAAAAGTGTTTTTATGTTCTTAATGATAACTCACGTCACACGGGTCCGTGACCTGGTCCAGAAGGCGTTTCTGGACTCCCAGCAGGTAGGGGGTAGGTGCCATCACTACATCGATCAGGATCTCTGGAACAATGGAGATGAAGGTGTGCTGCCAGGTGAAGGGGTAAAGGAGGGCTGCTACTGCATGAATGACTTGGGATAATGTGCTGTAGAGAGACAGGAGAGCTGACATCAGAAGTCATTATATGTTTAGCTATGTTACTGAACACTTGCTGGAGAGTTTTCACATTGAAAGGGAGGGATTATGCCCTTTTATTAGCTGGAAGGCTTTTGTGAAACGTATGCACAAATAGTTGAGTTTCACTGAATTTCAAACATTAAACGGAAAACAGGGAAAATTGAGAATAAAGTTGTCTCTAATAGAAGCCTGGTTCTTCCTGCAGTTGAGGTAAAGAACTAGAACAGCCAAGTTAGAATTTTAAACATATAGGCACTTTCAGGAATGTCAGACTGAGGATAAAATCTTGAAATTGATGAACAAATTCATATTTCAAAGCCATCTGTGATTAAAGGCCACTGTACGTTGCCCGAAGGCTCAGTCAGGCTGCTGGAGACCCAATCAAATTAATATATAATCGTCAACTGGCCACATCCAGCCTGCAGAATGGTCACTGATTAAAGTCTCTGCTTATATATTTACAGTTTGAACTGTGTGTCTGTGGCGAAATTCCAGGAAAAATGTGAGTTACTGCTATTGGACAAATGCAGTTACTGACCTCTATTTACATTCTCTGACAGGAAGCAAAACCTGTTTTTCTTGTTTATTTACCTCCAAAGTCTGTAAAACAGGAAAAGGAATGCTAATTTTTCCCTCAGATAATATTTACTATTGTGGAAATACAGGTGGAAAATAAAGATAATAGGGTGTGCAACATAAAGTACTGCTACAATGTATCTGTACACACATCAATTATACTCGAGCTTCGATCGACTGCTGCTTACTGCTGATTCCAACACTCACCTTATTCATAAAAAGGGAAATCAAGATTGTTTTTCTTAAGGAAGGTAAGAAGTTTTGATGTTGACCAGCCTCTATTCAAAGTCTTCTATACGTCTTTCATTGAGTCAGTTTAAACATTTGCTATGATCTGTTGGTTTGGTAATTTCAGTGTAAAACACAAAAACTTGCTGGGTAAAATTGTGTGCGATAAAGTCACTGGTTTACATTTTAAGGATCTTTGCAACTTGTATCTGGTCAGAACCAGAGAGCTGTGGCATCTCAATTATAAGAGATGAAAAGTTTTTGATGGTTTTGGTGTCAATAACAACAATGGCGCTGATGTTGACCTGCATATTTTCTTGTATTGATCACTGTCTTTATTCATTGTTGTATGCTTTTTGTATGTATTGTGTAAAGGAGAGTTTCAATACCCCAGTTCATCAGCGATGAAAATGATCCGTCTCTCCAGGACAGCGGCAGCAAACACCAGTAACACCTCCTCGTCTGTCAGGCAGTCGAAGAGCTTGCCGAAGTTCACGTGTTCCAGCCAGGAATCCAACGGCCGGGTCAGACGGATTATCTAGATGACAGTCACCACGTTCACAAATATGTCAATAGTTTGTTGTTCTCTACACACTGACCTTCGACTCTTACCTCACTGCTGTCTGACTCTGAAGGCTCTAAAAGCATTATTCTACTCTATTCTGATTTATTTCTTTTTACTTTTACATTATTGGACATATTTAGAACAGTGCCTTCTAAAGACAAAGACAAGAGTCTTTACATAGCCAGAGAAGCATATCTTTGTCCTGCCTTCTCCCTGAGGGCAGGTCATGGTAACTAGCACAAACAATGGCCAGCATCAGGGAATACTTGAGATGACAGTGAGCTGTTGAAACATGGTATGTGACCTGATGGGAGAAGTGTTAGGTTTCTGCTGAGGTTGGGTAATGTAGGACAAGTTCAGACACAACTCCACACAAACACACCCTCCTGGAGGATCTGACTTTATACAGTCACAGGGTTACACTGTATGTTGTGTCTTAAAGTTGGCTTATAATAATACGTCACTTTGAGCTTTTTCTTCTTTTTTAAAGTTGCTTGTTTTTTGGGCTTGGTTTGAAAAATATGGTTTGCTGTGGAGGAAAAAAATCAAAATGACTCCTAGCTGCTAACTAGCTAGCTAATGTTAGCTTTCCACCGTCTGGACCAACTCTGTTGTGAAAAGTAGCAGATGCTGTGAACGTCACATAACCAGGGACTTTTTATTTTTCCGTGTCGGACAGATTCTCAAGTACTGGAAATACTGGGCGAGGGGTGCAATGAAACAGCTTTTATTTGATGAGAAATCACAGGAAGTTCTCTTTCCTAATAGTGCAAGCTTCACAGTGGAGCGTTAGCATTATTGCAACAAGCTTAGCTGGCTTGTCCAGCGCCGGGCGCATGTGTGAAATACAGCAGCTGTGGATGAGAGGGGAACTGCTGGACACACATTTTATTTCATATCCTGCTCGTTTAACAGTTAATTGATAAATTGCTGAATAAATGCAATACAGTGAGGATTAGAATTGCTATTTTTTTTATTTATCATTTTGGCGCTGACTAAAACCTCTTTGGAGGGCATCAAACATTTCTCTGCAAGAAAAACCCTGGACACATAGAAAAAAGCAATTTTGAGAAACAATAATATTTTACTAATAAATTTAAATGAAATATTGTGGTTTTACTGAGATTAGATTTTAGTTTATTTTATAGTTATAGATAGTTTAATTTTTGAGTACCCTTACACAATATGTTAACATTGTTAATTTATACCAAATAATATTACCCACTCTGATTTATTATTGTTATATAGACGATAAAATAAATGAATGGAGCACAGGATTCTTTTTAGTTTTCCTCATTAAATTAAAATCAGTATTCTTGCAGTCTTCATATTTTCTGCCTCGCTATACAGATATCACCAGATAATGTCAGCATCAACCCTAAAATACAAGAATACCCACCAAAGTAGTTTCACTTTAATATACTACAGGCTCATTTACTGAGCTCATGTAGTAGTCTGCAGAGAGTTGGAAACACCGTTGTGTGAGTAATGACACAGCTGCACTCATGTCAAGAACTAGGAACCTTCTTATCTCCCCAGTCCTTCGGAGCCTAAAAATAAGGCTGTCCCGTCTACAGTAATGACTTATGCAATGTTTTCCTCTTGGTTCACTGAATGTAGTCATACTTCCTGGAAGTCCCAGTCTTTACAGGAAGAATTTGGGAAATCTTCTACTAAATGATATGTGTGGTTGGAATCTCCCTCTATCGTTATATAGAGGGAGATTCCAACCACACTTATCATTTTGTGTTTTGAAATTTCTGACATACACATGTTCCATCTAGAGTTCAGTATTGTTTTCCTGCCAAAATTTAAAGGAAAACCAGCTGTATTGAATCTGGGTTGTATTCTTTTCTGCAGGTTTAACAAAAGTTGTAGAATAAGTTCACACACAGTTATGTTCATAGTTCACAGTCCCAGAACAGGAACAATTCACTTTCATTTCTTTCTTCTTTACAAAATGCTGTGAGTGTGACTTGGGAAGAGGAACATTGCTGTTGGCTCGTGGTCTTACTCTTTGTTAATGATTCATTGTTATCCTCATTCACTTAATAAAGCAGCTTTCCACAGCTGAGTTTCCTCTCTCTTCAGAGGTGCACTGATTTAATGAGCAGAACCAGAAAAGAAAGTGAAACCTCAAAAGTTCCACCTGGCATTGTTTCCTTGTGTACTCCTTTGTTCTGTCTTAATGGAGTTTTTATCGTCTCTCACAGGAGTTAACGACACTCACCTACTTGTTCTTTACTTTTAACAGGATACGTTCACCATCTACTAAAAACATTAGTGTGTCAATTAACTGTGCTTGAGTCAACCATAGCTATTCTGAATCTTTAAACTCAAACAGCTGCCACCAAGACAAAAGAAAACATACCCTGTGGATCAGCATAGTCTTTGTTTATGCAACATTAAAAGAAGAAAAAAAGCAATAACTTTAATATGTGCTGTATATCATCAAACTTTAAGTGGACTCTTATGAGCAGAAGGGGGTAGGGCTTAGTCTGACCTCAGTGCCCGACTCAGGAATGAAGCTCTTAATCTCCACAGTGTGTCCTGGAGCTGGGAATGAAGCCTCCCTCAGCTTCTGCATGAATGGGTAGATCATGGCCATGGAGATCTGCCGCCGCTTCTCCACCTCGTCAAATATCTGCACACACACACACACACACACAACACACACACAGGAAAACACACATAATACAGTACCAATAAGTACTCTAAAATGTATTAAAATGTATTCTGAAACATACAGATAGTCAGTGGAGTATCTCAAGCAGTGAAGTGATGTGATTTTTTTTTTAATTTTTACTTTAAATACATTTTGTCTAAATAAACGTCAGTATTCAAATGTTCAATGGAGAAAAAAAAACATTGAGTGGATGGGATTACTGGTACTACAAAAATCCAGCTTATTCATTTCCACACCACTAGGCTCATCACTACAGCAACAGAGTCGTGTCATACTACCCAACCTGCTGAACTCTTTCACACCAAGAACAATAACACATCATCCACATTGATGAACAATAAACATGGGTTCACAAAGTTCTTCAAAGACCAGAGGAGTTCAGAGAATCACTCTGTACCAGTTGTCGTCTTTAACAACACATTTTATTCATACTGTGCTAAAGAAAGAGGATATCATTTAGGACTTTTTGACCTTTCATGTCATTTTCAGCCTAAAATTATGTTATATCTTTAATCACTCTGAAAGAGACCCTAACGATATCATTCACCACTGTCATTGTTGTTAAAGTTGTGTTGTGTACCCTGCCACCCACTTGAGTAAGAAAGAACTGTTTAATTACAGATAGGGGACACATTAAAAGGAAAAACCTCAATAAATGAGTGGAGAAACAATGAATGCAGAGACTTCCACACAGGTCCACCACATGGTGCAATTAACATCCCATCATACTCTGTGGAATGTATAAAATGCAGAGCAGGCCCAGTTGATTCTGATTTTGTCAGATGGATACTAGAGCAGGGCTGCAGTGCATAAACCCCCCCCATTATAAAGATGAATGAATGATAAATCTGCAGTGGTCTACAGAGATGTGAAAGGTGATTGGGTGAGTCGTCCTTCACCATATTCTCCACTAGTGGGTGAGGGCGCATGTGGCATACACCAAGGAGGACAGTACATTGCCTGAGCTGCTGCGACCCCTGTACAGTGAGGGGATCCGGTGGCCCCTGCTGATGCTGTAGGGCGGCATTTTGCTGGTATGGTTTGTCCCCTTACGGGGGGGGGGGGGGTCACTCCACATCAATACAAAGTCGTTCTGAGTGACTTTGGCCCCACCATCATCATCATGGCAATTACCAGTATCATGATATTACCATGGCAACAACTGCACATGTATATTCAGCAGCCGGTAGTGCTTTCAAACTTGTGACATTTTTGTTTTAATATGTTTTTCACTTCACTGCTCTGAAACCCCATCATCAGATGATACCTGATTGGGTTTGGAGCAAAATTGTTCAAATCGACTGGATCAGGAGACTTTGGGAACGGCTGCACATTCAGATGCTGCGGTCGGTAGGCTACATCCTTCAAACTCTCTGTTTGTGTTTGTTGTAGCATGAACGAACAGCAAACTTTTGTTTTGTTTTACAACCTTGTGTTATATAGTAATTAATACATTTCTTTGATTCCTTGATCAAAAGACCAAATGAGAGAATATGTTTTGGAAGAGTGGTGTTCTTTCCTACAGTCAAGTTCCAGAGAATCGTAGAATCAATGCCAAGGCACACAGAAGCTGTTTTGGCAGCACATGGTGGCCCAACTAAAACACTTTATGTAGCTTTTTCCTTATATTTGTCACCTGTCTGGATTTGTCTGTAAATCTTTAAATGTTATTTCTCAATGTAAAGGTTTAAGAGCTGGTTCAAATCCTAATCCACACTGACAGAAATAAAATTATATTCATTGGCCTTTATGTGGTCTAATTTAAGTATACTGAATCTAAAAATATTAGAATCAGCCTATACAATATCATTCACCGTATGTTAGTTTTTAAATTGTTCAATGGAAACTTTGAACAGGTTACTAAAACAACCCCAAATCCCTGGAAAATCCCTAAGGACAATGAAGTCCTGTCCTCTGGTTGCTACTGTACAGCCCCTCATTTATTCCCTGCAACGTTTGCCTCCCACTGCTCTTAATGTAGAGTGAGCGACATGCATCACTAAACAAACAGAAAACCACCGGACTCGGGTGTGTCTCCTAGTTACTAATCAACAGGTGATACACCCTTGATACACATATTGTTCTGTCAGAAGTCACAATTTAAAAAGTCTGCCAAATGATGAGCAAGTCGCAGTTATCGGAAACCTTACTGGCCAAGTATTGAACCTGTCACATCAGAATCAGAATCAGAAATACTTATACTAATAATCCCAGGGGGAAATTATTATCATTTTTTTCAGAAAATATTATATGATATCATAGATATGGGTAATCAACGGCAGAAATCCAGATTTGGAAACACACTGTTCAGAATAATTAAACCAGGTGATAAATAAAGGAACAGCAGACAGGACCTGAACGACTGTTTATGGCATTTCTTAGAGCTGAAGGCTAGACAGAGAGAGGAACAGCTGAGTTTAGTCACAGTTGAACTCACCTTGGAGAAGAGGCCGAAACAAGCCAGCGAGCTGATGATACAGTAAGCCTCGGGTGGTCGAGCTCCTTTCCCTCCAGGCTGCAGATTGGAGAGTGAAAGCAGAAGATATTTAATGAACATTAGGACATGACTTCTAAATGATGAGACAGTGAAGACGCCTTCAGTCTACACACTGACCAGTAACCTCCTGCAGTATCCATTTCTTCTGCTGCCATCAATCTCAGTCAGAACAAAAGAGAAGGTCTCACTGTAAACAGAGAAAGACAACTCAGAACAAGGGACACTGGTGTACAATGAACTGAACCATGGATACAGGAATAAAGGTTATCAAAGTGAAAACTGTTGACAGAGGAGGAGCTGCACCTGTGGTATTCGGTCAAAGGAGCCCAGTTGATCCCCTCTGGGAAACAAAAGAGAGTGATGGCCTTCAGCGTCTTCTCCTCTTCCTCCTTCTGAAATTTTGCCATCCCATCCCTCTAAAACAGAAACAATAGGCTTTTTATTAATAATGTTGTTTGTTGTCATTTAAACCAGCATTGCCATACTGAACTGAGCAGATAACGATGCCTTTTCCAAGTGTAATCTGTGTCACTCAGGTGTTCCCTGTTAGAATGACCTACTGATTAAACATTCTACCATTAAACTCACCTTGGGGAACTGGTAGGTGATCTGAGGCTCGTAGCTGCTGCTGCCCTTGGCCTTCTTGAGGCTGACCACCACCAGGTACTCGAAGAAGTACTGACCGCTGAAGTAGCGGTGTTGCCTGGATGTGTCGTCTCCCACCACCGGGCCCAGCGCCTCTGTAGTTTCAGGGTCTTTGCCTCCTACACAGAGACGTAGAAATACACTGCTTTACACTGTGATCCAGATGGAAAGCTTTACAGACCTCATTACATTGTCCCACTAGTGCAATGCTTTTCGATCTACAGGCCTATGACTTTACACTCCCTGCTGTGGAGAGTGGAAAGGTTGTTGAATATGGTATATGATAGGATGGTGGACAGAGACGGAGCTGGGTGAAATTCAGATAAGCTGGGACTAAATCATTATAAGGAATACCCTCAATAAAAAGGGACACAAACAATATTTTAGCACTTGCTCATCGTTTTTTTTAAGCAATAGTTGATCATCTTCTGGAATATATTTTTGAGATGGATCTCACTCTCATGCATGTGTGTTAAGTTTAGAGCTAACGTCAGGATTTGGTTAACCTAGCTTAGCACAAACTAAACAATTCCTAAAATGTAATTATTCCTTTAAACATATTCTCCTGCTCAGATGTGTGTTGTCCCAACTCGAGTGACAAAATTTAAAAAAACATTTAGAATGAGAATGATGGGAAGCCACATTATAAGACAAACAATTAGAATGAATAAAGACTGTAAACCTGTGTAAACTGTATTGTTTTTTATCACCGACTGGCCGGGACTTGAATGGTCTAAAAACCATGACTGCCAAATCATCACCATATTGTATGTAATCAGTTGACAAGCCTTTTTCAGAAAACTCAAACAATATGTGGACCCACTATCATGACACTACATTACTGAGTGTTCACTGGAAGTGCTTTAATATTTATGGATTCAGTATTGTTATATTTTGTGGGTTGTGTTAACACGGAACAGTTTGTATGTGTGTAGGCCTGTCACAATAACTACTTTTGTTAGACAATATACTAACCCACAAATAATTGCTATAAACATTATTATTATCCTTGACAATAAAACATATATAAAACCACACAACAAAAACAATATATAAATGGACTCTTGCACTCTGTTGACAAAAACTGCACTTAAATTTCCACAGGGGTGGACTATAGAGTCATTCACTACTTAAAAGGCAATATAATAATGGTAGGGAAAACCCTGCAGTTTATTTTGGCATCATTTTGGCTAAAATGTTGGTAACATACTTAAACAATAAGTTGATATTGTGATAGGAGATGATTCCACATTGTATATATTGTACGCTAAGTTGATAACATAATTACTGTGACAGGCCTACATGTGGTGTGTGTGGAATTCTTTCAATGAAGTTAATATTATAAATAAGTAATATTTTCTATATCCCATAGTGGGAAACTGGCGGGAGGATTCAAATGACAGTTGAATATGGTTATATGTATCCTCTCTTTGGATGGAATATGTTATTCTACTGATAGAATTATTTATCTACAGTGTTTACAACAGAAAAGTTTGCCCACAGACATTGGCTCTGACACTACTGTTGACTCGACTGCTTAGTACAGAGTCCATTATTCACAGCCACACTAACAGCCCGGTGTCCTTCACACACTGCCAGCCTGCATGTGTTCTCTGCTGCATTCCTCCCTTTTTGTCTAAAATAAAAGCCCACCAGCAAGGAGTTCTCGGGTTGGCAGCCTTGTGTCTGTGTGTTTTTGGCCTGCTGGTACACATGCATAAAAAGTTGGCCTATGTGCAGTTTGATGATCATTAGGCGTGTTTTGCCTTACAAAGGGTTTAGGGTATGTAGAGATATTTTCCATCTGAAAAACCCGTTCCTTTGACTTGAAAGGAATCTGTGAAATTGGGAGCTAATACTAAGCTGAGCAAAGTTTTAGTAAAAACACAACAGTAAACTGTTAATTGGAATGACTGCTATGATTCAGCTGTGTTGAGACTGTTCTTGAGATTGTTGCCACACTGACAGAGTGCTTTGTGTACTGACTGTATTAACAACACATGTTACTGGTCTTCCTGTGGTGTACAAATGTATCTGTCACAATCCAGATGTGAAACCGTTGCTTATCCACCGAGTTACCAGAAAAACAGAAACCAATGCGCAGCGTATTCAATCCAATAACATAGTGCTGGAAGTAATACCTCAGTGAAACTTGTGTGGTGTCACCATCCTATGCAGACTGTTTCTGGCTTCTACTTTCTGTGTTTATTTTGGGTCAGACTCATCTAAAACCTAAACCACCAAGTAACTCTTTATTATTCTCTGCATTACTTAATCACGATCTAAGTTTTGGAAATATAGTTCCCATGATGCATTTGGGGATGTAAACAGGAAGTTTAATTTTAGTAAGAATTTTTTACATGTATTTTTTCCCTTTTCATTGAATCTTACATTTTGGCAGATTGGAACGATTAAAAGTATGATGAATCAGCTATTAGTAGTTCCTGTTTGCAGTGCACCCATGGGTGTACAGACAGCTGTCACTGGTTTAATGATACTGAAGAAAACTGTCATGAAAAAAACAGATCTGA